GGGACCGAAGAAGCGGGCGGGACCCCGGAGGACCGGGCGGCGCTGAGGGGGCTGAGCCGTTGACCCGGTAGATGCCCAAGTTCACTCCCCGGGTGCTCGCCCTCCGCTCCACACCCGCACGGTCCCGGGATGGAGCCCTGGGGAGGAAGGAGAGCCGGCCGTGCCCCGAGGCTCCAATCTGCTCGTTTCTCCGGGCAGTGCCGAGCGAGTGGGGTTGGGTCGGGTCCTCGAGTTACACACGGGACTGATTCTCATCTCTCTCGCGGCTCGTGTGCTTCCTGGGGCCGTTGTGTCTTTTGTCCGCCGCGGGCCGGTAAGTCGCTCCGGTACCTATTGGCCTGTTTCACTGCTGACTTGGCTCACACCCGCGGGCTGTTCCACGGGCGGCTTCCCGCCCCGTTCAGTGACCGAAAGGAGTCATGAAAATCGGATCAGTCGTGGAATGTGTGTCCAGACTGTGTAACTAGCATGAAGCAGGCAGAATTTACGAATTGCTTGAAATGCATGAAAACGCTCCAATGTTTATTTTCACATAGAGCCAGAACATTTTTACAAACTTGGAAAATGTCCACTCTTGCACAAAACACACTTAGTCATCAATTTCATAAGGCTTCCTCTTTCTACATAGTTCTCCATTTGTGTTTAGTAAAAGACTTTATAGATGTATCCAATTTTTTTCCTTCCAAACAAAATGAGAGATTTTTTAAAAATGGGTGTCATGAAGTTAACTTCTTCTCCCTGGTTAACGTAACATATCTTTATCCACAAATGCTTTATAGGAAATTTCTTGTTAATGTTTTGATTTCGTAGACCTGCCTGTGTGATTTCCAATCCCCAGAAGAATGTATTCATGTGAACTCGGTTCTCCAAGTGCCAGATTTAAGAAAGTGGATGCTCAGCCCCCTATTTCTGCTCCTGTCTTTCAGATTGTTCCTGGGTTTCATGGTGTATTTATTCTCTCTTATCCTTAATTATAGCAGCATTTTATAATATAGGAATGGAAAGTAATGTGCTTCCTGTTGTACAAGAAGATTATACCTATGGTTTAAAATTATTGGTGGGCATTTTTAAAGACTCATTTGCTCAGCCTTAGTATTTCTAACAATGCTATTTAAGCTTCAACTGTCTACCATAGAGAAGGCTGTGTATTTGTTTTTATTTTAGCTTTTTGTTTTGACATCATAGACCAAAACTAAACTAAAGTGCTTGTGTTTTTTTATTTAGAGTCATCTTCGTTGCCCGTTGAGTCATTATGTCATAATAAATTGTTTTACGATTAAACTTCATTAACATGATGTTCCGGTTACTTGGAATCTCACTTTTTAGTTAACCTTGCTCCTTTCAGATAAATGGGTGTGTCCTGTGGGTTTTTTTTTTCTTTTGCTCTTTGACTAAGTAAACTCATTGAAAATAGAAGAGGGGATGCCAACATCTAAGCTTTTCCCCCCAAAATGAGCATACAGTAAACTTTCAGTTTACAGGGAACATTCTTTGGGACCACTACTAGGTTCTTTAGTTGTAGAGATGTAAGAGATGTTACTCGGTATGTAAAATAAGTTCATGCTTTTGGGTATGTTTATAGTAAAAGTTAAAATCTTGATCAACTCAACTAATCAAACTTTTTCTAAATGTGCATTAGATTTTGAAACACAGGCCCATTTTAAAATCTTTTGGACTATTAGAGAAAGAGAATTACTAGCTTACATTTCAAGATAATGGAGACACCACCATTTTTTCATCATTTATGATAGCCTGCTACATTTTATATGATTGAAAGATTTTTTTTCTAGTTTCTTACCTCTCATGAGGCCGATTTGGGCTAGTGTGCAAATGTTCTGTATGAGTCTAATGATGCTATTACTGAGGTTAACATGGTTTTTCTTGCTCTCAGAAGATTTTAACTGTACCTTAAAAGCAATAGAATGCAAATACAGCCCATAGAACATAAATGAGATGTTGCATGAATATTAACAGAATCGTTTGTATAATGTGATCATGGAGTATAGCATATGCAGTTTTAAAATTATATCAGACAATTACTATTCAGCTGGCAAGACTTTAGGTGTAAAAACAAAATGTGGTGCCTGAAAAGTTTCCTCACAACTTGGAAAAAGCATGTTTAAATTTTTCCTTACGTTGTGTAATCAGAGTATCTTTATTGAGAGGCACCCTCTGGGTTTTGGGTTTTGAGTTGTGTAATTGGGCCAGTCTTAGGGGACTGGAGCTAGGAGAAATGGTCTCAATTAGAAAGAATGTTTGTGGACTAAGTGTTGTCATGGTGACTGATACTGTAATCAGGAGTGTAAGAATCAAGAGTTCATTTTCTATTGCTGCTGACTTAGGGGGGAAAAACTGTACAGTTACTACATTGACATAGTGAGAAATATTTTTGGAGTGTAAGATCTGTGTTTAAATCATTTGGAAAGAAATGCTTTTATCCTTGTTATCCATATGCTGCCTCCCATAGCAATGCAAAGTATTCAATATGTATATGTACTCAAATACCAGGGAAAAATCAAAATTAGAAGAATTACCCCTGCCCTTGAAGAGCTGACTAGCTTTTTTGAGTTGAATATTTTAGTACAACCAGAGGGAAGAGGAGTGGAGTGGTACAGAAAAGTAGTCTTCATCTTCCAGTTAGTCATTCCAATATTCCTCCTAGATGATAGAAATGATGGCATAAGTATGAAATTTGTGATTTTGAGTATGGACAGCACATCTTGTATCCATTACATCTGTCTCATTCTATATTCTATAGGAACTAGAGGCCTGGTGCACGAAATTAGTGCACTGGGGGGGTGGTGTCCCTCATCCCGGCCTGCGCCTTCTCACAGTCCAGGAGTCCTCGGGGGATGTCCAACTGACAGATTAGGCCCACTCCCCAGCTCAGGGCTTCTGGCTGAGCTGTGCTCCCCCTGTGGGAGCGCACTGACCACCAGGAGGCAGTTCCTTCATTGAGCGTCTGTCCCCTGGTGGTCAGTGTGCATCATAGCGACTGGTCATTCCGCTGTTTGGTCAATTTGTATATTCGCCTTTTATTATATAGGATAGGATAATGCTAAACAAAAGCCTTATACCAGAGATTCAAGTAACTGCATTTTTTAATTCAGTGTCTGTTATGGAACTTTGGATAAAGCAGCCAATTCGTACATTTCCTGTTCCTTGGCTATAACATGGGACAGTGCTAAAGATTTCTCTGCTATTTAATAAAGGCCTGTTCTTAGGAAGAGGGATTAGACAGTAATGGTTACCTCGGAGGATAGAAATAGACCAGATGTAGGGAAGGACAGAATTGGTCTTAACATAAAGCAATTCATAATTCCGAGTTGTTCATCAGTGGAAGTGTGTGGCTTTTTGAGTAACTGATCACAATGTTAGTGAAACATTCAGATCAGAAAGAAGTGCCTGCATTGAGTAGGGGGCTAGATGCTGTTTTTAGCCTTTTAAGTACATAAGGTGTTCTGGTTATCCATTGCTGTGTACCAAACCACTCGAAACTTAATGGCTTAGAATAATGGCAAGTATTTATTTTTTCACAACTCTGCAATTTGTGTAGGGCTTATTAGGGTTGGCTCTGCTCTCTGTGGCATCAGCTGGGGCAGCTTGACTAGGGGGCTGGAGGATCTGCTTTCAATATGGCTTAATCACAGAGCTGGCTAGCAAGTTGATGCTGGCTTTCAGCTAGGAGCTTAGCCTGGGGCCAGGGGCCTCATCAGGTACCCCAGGCTTCCGCACAGCATGATGGCAGGGCTTCAGGGGCAAGTGTCCTAAAGAGAAACTGGTAGAAGCTGCATGGCTTTTCTACCTAGCCCAGCGGTTCTCAACCTGTGGGTCGCAACCCCTTTGGTGGTCAAACAATCATTTCACAGGGGTCGCCTAAGACCATCCTGCATATCAGATATTTACATTACAATTCATAACAGTAGCAACATGACAGTTATGAAGTAGCAACAAAAATAATTTTATGGTTGGGTCACAGCATGAGGAACTGTATTTAAAGGGCCAGAAAGGCAGAACCCGGTTTGGCTCAGTGGATAGAGCGTCGGCTTGCGGACTGAGGGGTCCTGGGTTCGATTTCGGTCAAGGGCATGTACCTGGGTTGCGGGCACATCCCCAGTGGGGGATGTGCAGGAGGCAGCTGATCGATGTTTCTCTCTCATCGATGTTTCTAACTCTCTATCTCTCTCCCTTCCTCTCTGTAAAAAATCAATAAAATATATTTTAAAGGGCCAGAAGGTTGAGAATCACTGACCTAGCCTCTTAAGTGAAGCTATACCTACCACAAATGTCCACCCACATCCAAGGGAAGAAGACCTCTTGATGGGAGGAGTGTCAGAGAATTTGTTAACATACTTTTTAAATCCTTTACATAAAATTGTGTTTTTTAAAGGAAATAAATATTCTTTGTTTATTCATTTTAAATAGCTTTACTGAGAGAGATATGTCATATACCACACATTTCACTCATTTAAAGTGTACAATTCATTATTTTAATAAGTTCACAGGGTTATGTTAGCATCACTATGATCTAATTTTAGAACATTTTTATCCCTCACAAAAGAAACCCATACCCACTCCCCTTCTCTTCAGCCTCTGTAAACCACACTTTTACTTTCTATCTCTGTAGCTTTGCCTGCTTTGAACATTTATAAGCTGAATAATACAATATGTGGTATTTTGATACTGGCTTCTTTCAATTAGCATGTTTTTGAGATCATCATACTGTAGCATGTATCAGTACTTTATTCCTTTTTATTGCTCAGTAACATTCTATAGAATAGATATTTTATGCATTTATCCATTGATCAGTTGATAGGCATTCAGGTTGTTTCTACCTTTTTATTTTATTTTGTTGTTGTTAATCCTCACCCAAGGATGTTTTTTCCATTGATTTTCAGAAAGAGTAGAAGGGAAGGAGGGAAGAAAGGAAGAGAGAAACATCAATGTGAGAGAGACACATCAATAGGTTGCTTCCCCAACATGCCTCATCCGGGGTTGGGGATGGAATCTGAAGTTCAGGTATGTGCCCTTGATTGAAAATCAGGCCAATGGCCCTTCGCTGCACAGGACAACGCTCAATCAACTGAGCCACTCCGGTTGGGCCAAACTGTTTTTCAAAGTGTCTGTATGATTTTACATTTCCACCAGCAGCATTACAATTTCTTCACTCATAAAATTTTGATAAAGGGGAAAAGCACAGGGAGTAGAAAGTGTGTGGAACTGGGTTTTAATTTGTATTCTGCACTCCACTTCACCTCACTGATAAAATAATTTAGCTTTTCTAGTCCCCATTTTCCTAAGATTCCTTTCAGTTCTCTAATTCTTTGAGCATTTCATGAGGGGAGGTAAGCATTGCTAGAAGCATTCAGGCAAATCTGGGTGAACAAAGGGAATGTGATAAGATATAAAATTAAATTAAGGTTAGATTAGTTGATAGTGGAGAATCCTTTCCAATTCTAAAATTTTATAATTCTATTTTGTGTTTATGTATTTAGTAACATGTGAGCTAATCCTATATAATAAAGAACTAATATGCTAATTAGACCAAACAGCAGAATGACCATCCAGACGACCTTCCGGACGAAGGCGCGGCTGCGAGGGCCAAGCCCCTTGCACGAATTTCGTGCATTGGACCTCTAGTATAAATATAATACTTCATCTTCTCTCATCATCTACACTAATAAAAGAAAAACATGGTAATTGGCATACGACCGCTACCCTTTTCATTGGCTAATCAGCGAGATATGCAAATTAGTCGACAGCC